TCAGTGGAAGGAAGTGGACTGCACAACTAGGCAACTGCCTAGTCGAGAGCACTCCTATTTATTACTTCTGCGCTCCAGAAGTTAAAATGAATAAGTAAATCAGTGGAGAGATGCACTTGGCGGGATCTTGGTTGCTTTTATTTGCACTGGTGGTGCAGTGGTTTGCTTTTCTTCAGAGCACATTGTGTGCCTTTTTCCCTACCTGAAGTTTCAAAATAAGTGCGATTGGACAAGTAACTGATCTGGCAGCCAGTAGCAACTTCTCCAAGGCTTGATGCTCAATCTTGTAGTTACAAAGAAACACATGTAAGTAACTTTCCGTGCATACGAACTGAAGAAATGCTTTCCCCTTTTGGATATTCAGATTTCTAAAAATCCAAATGAGGAAGCGTTTCTGATTTCCTTGCTTTTGCTCGCTCTTTTAAAACAGAGATCTTAATTTAGAAATCTTTTGCATCATTCAACAAATATGTCGGTTTTTTGTTTTTGTTTTTTTGCATTTTTGTAGCAGTGTTCAAAGTCCCAGGAGCAGGCTCCATCATGCTAACCACTTTGCAGATTCTTTAAAATGTGGAGCAAAAGGGACTGCTTCGGAGAAATTGCAAAGTTCATTCGTATAAAAAAGCGTACACCTTACTGATTATGTATAGCCATTCTTCTGTGACAGGAGGAAATTTTAATGGTATACAGATATTTGCAGGATCTAAGCCTAAATAAAAATGAAACTCAGAAAATCAAAAATATTTTACAAATTCTCTTTTTGTGCAATTAATATTAAAACCTCCTCTGGATCAGAATTTTTTTTTATGTAAGATCTATGCCTTTAGTAGGTAGAGATTCATAAGAGTTTGGGTTTTTTTGTCTCTGTCCCATAGGAAACTATATTTTTTAAAGAAACTGAAATGTCGTGGATCTCCTTAAGTGCTGTTGTTTTAAGATAAAGGAAAAGTGGAGGTGAGTTTTGTATCTTTCTGAGTATTGTTTTATAGGTAGTATCTCACAGTGTTGGGAAACTGAGGCACATCATTCACACTGAGAGAATATTTGGGCTCTCTAGTCAGAAAAGTTGCCTGTTGAATGATGTGACAGGACAAGAGTTTTCAGCCCATCTGTCACCCATGCAGAAATAAAAGGATCACATGGTATGGGCTCCAAAATAGAGGAAAATTTGCTGTTACAGCCAACATTCCTTGCCACAATACAAATATGTTCTTTGCTCACATAATAGCTGTTCAGTTTGTCAATTTGCCATCCTCTGTGTCACCTTCCCTTGTTACATTGGGGTAACTTGCATCCCTCATGCTGAGCAATCTTCCTCCAGTTTTTAATCGGTGTAGTAGTGATTTCTGGTGTGTTTCTGTCTTTAAACGACAACCAGCAGCTTGGAAGATGAGTATCTAGTTTAATAAGAAATGGAAATTTTAGGTTGTTTTCTCTTACAGTCTGAGAATAGGAATGTGTTCTGGAGGGGGGCAGGGAAAGTAAAGCAGTAATCATGCAAACGACACTGTGAGGACAGCAGTGAGGTCTGGCATGCTGATGAGCGAGTTCAAATGCTGGCTGCTTCAGGAGGCAGCCTGAGCCACGGGGGACCTCTGTCCTCTCCACCTTTTGGCGCTTGAGAGACTGACCTAATAAATATTTTGTTACACGAGATATGATCTCATATCCTTTTAAAATCCGCATATCTGCCAACTCTACTTCCATCCCATAGGATGGGGCTATTCAGTGAAGAGTTCAAAGTGTGGGACAGAGCTTGGAGAAGGAAGTAGTGATTTTCAAGAAGAAAGTTATTTAATAATACCTGGAAGTTCACAGTTCTCCAGAAACGAAGCTGTCTCAATGCTGAATCACTGGAGGCTTGTAGTTTATCTCCTCAACTCTCTGCTGTACAGAAACAAAGGATACCAGCAACACCCTTTTTAACCTTCTGCCCTTTTTTTCCATGTCTCTTGGTTGTTGTTTTTTTTTTTCTCCTGTGAATCTTAAGCTTTTCGTGATTGTAGGGCAGCGTGCTGCTCCACTATCCTATAGGGCAGAGCTTGTGGATAGTGCATGATAGCCTTCTAGGATCACTGCTGCCTGCTTATGAGGAGAGGATGAAGGAGAGAGATGTGGAGCAGCAGGTTGCAGCACTGAATCCTTTGGTTCCTCCTGGACTCCTCAATTGTCTTAACTGTTTTCAGTCTCTTTCACGATGTATCAAGATGAGTTACTGCTGCTATCTGCTCTTTTGAAGTAAAGCTACTGACTTGCTGAAAAAAAAGTAGCTGTGAATTAATAAAATATTAATATTTACAGTGTGGGTAGTAAGTAGTCACTGTGTACAAGAAAAGATGGGAGACGGATTTTTGTTGAGGGTTTTTTTTGTCAGATAGAAAGGTACATGGCCTTTTTCATTCTGTTGCTTATTCTAATTTTTCATCTCCTATAAATTGAAATTCTGAGCTAAATTGTTCTCTGACGCTGGCAGCATGAACCTAGACATCTGGAGAGAAGCTAATTGCCTTGGCTCCAGCCAGCTACATCACCACAGATTATACCATCCTCTGTCTTTGAACGATGTATGTCATTTATTTGAACTTCTGCTGCCTTATGAAGGTATTCCAGCTTGAATGTCTGCGTTTACTTGAGCTCATGTTTTGTTGGATGGTGAGTCAGAGGCTCCTTGCAATTTATTCACTTTGCTTTTAGCATTATGTAACCTGTACATGGCTGTAAGTACGTTTAGGTAGAATAGTCCTTTGCAGCTCATTTCACTGTCCTTGGCCTATTTCTCCTTAAAACTCTTAGAAGCAGCTTAAGTTAGCCCAAATGCACGCTTCATTTTAATTAAAACTATTAAATAGAGCATAATTCTCTTCACTCCTCTTGAAGTTGATGAGAGGTTAGTCAACGAAAAGAAAATTAGTTAGTTGATAGCATTGTGTATTTAAATCAGTGAGGAAATAGAGAAACTGCCTCAAGTGTATGATGAACTCTTCATTGTTTTGTGAACATTCAGCATAGTAAAAGTTGATGATGTTATCTGAACATTTATCCTAACAAGTTAAATGTAGAGAGGATCAGAACTAAGAAGCTGATGGAATGCTAAAACATGTCATGTATACACTTAAAAGGAAAAGTCTAATTTCTGGTTTGCACTCATTGGAGTGTTGCACTTCATCTGAGAGTAGTTTTGAAAGATTTGCAATTCATATGGCTGGGCCTAAGATTTTGTTGGAGGTGGTTCTTTATAGAACATAAATGCTTTGGTTAATACAGAGTGTTGAGACCAAACAGTTACTGGTGTTTCTTCTCCTGATGTCTTGACTCAGGTGGTGGTGTTGTAGTGGGCAACAAGTCAGCAAAACAAAACTATCTTTCTTTTTTTTTTTTTTTTTCTCTCTGAAGATCAGGAAAAGAAAGTTTGTGTGAAGGAAAACTGAGAGCATCCTGAGAGGATAACATGTTGACTGTTGATGCAAAGTAAACTCACTTCATCATATTTGATGAGGTTGTTGTCCTAGTTTTGTTTTCATTTCTGTCTGGAAATGTTCTTGAAGAGGTTTAACGTTCTCAAATTCGTAAGATACTTCAGCCTCAGTCTTTCTTTCTGTCTTGTTTGTGAGTCTTTTGGCAAGAACTTTATATCACAGCTTGTTTGTAGCTTTCAGTATGCATGGGGGCCATTCAAGTAATTTCCATTTCCCAGTGAGGTACATTCTTAGAAGAACTTTTCCAATTCAGTTAACCTGCATTTATTACTTCTTTTAATTGCTTGGTGTGATACTTTCTTGCATTTGCCGTTTTAATGTCCTTTCCTGTTGGTAAATGGAGAGCCCCAAAGGACGTGTGCGTGCAGTTGCCGAATTCAGCTTTTGTAGCCTGACAGATGTGTTGGAAAAAGCAGATTGTATTTGTGTGTGCTGCTTGTCACAGGTGGCGTCCCAACTAGGAGAATGTTCTGCTAATGCTGGAGCAAAATGAAATGAGAATAAATCAAGGAAAGAAAAATCATAGATATATATACACATATACAAATATAATATATAAAAACATAAAGCATGGCCTTAAAATTTAACATCGCTTTTTCCAGAAGTTGTGGAGAAAATTGACATGTGATGCATGTATGATTGGGCTCAACCAAGGTTCTCAAGTTGCACAGTGCAAGCAGTAAAGAACGGGCAGGAGAAATTCTTTAAATGATTTTGCCTTTTGTTTCTCTGGATATTAACAGTGGCTCACTGGGCCCACTTTTAAGTCTCATGCCATTTCTTTTTTTTTTTTTTCTTCTTTTTTTGTGAGCATTTTGTGAAACCTGGAGTCATGTAGATAAGTAGGGAGTAGGTAAGAATCTTAATTTCATTATAAAATTTAAATATATGTAGCTAGTCTTTGAGATTGTAAAGAAAAATCTTTATTACAGCATGAAAGGATTCTTCTAAAAGTCAAGGTAGGCAAAGCCTGGACGTTTTATCTCATTTAACTTACGTGGGACCTTTTTAATTCAGCTTTGCTTTGGATAACCAGTGAATTTTAATTGTTTTTAGAAATTAGTTCGAGTCTTATGCCCTTAGGGGTGCACAGAACTGGACTACTTCTCTGGCACATTTAAATGAGAAGGAGGGTCATTTTTGGAGCTCAGAATGGTTTGTGACAAAGAAGAAGCAGGACTTGCTTCATGCAGCTTACCAGTGTAAACCAAGCTGTCGTGCCTTATGGTGCTACATTTAGATTCTGTATTTAAGCTCTGTCAAGGAGGGCTAAGCTATATAGCAAACTGTTCTTCACACTGCTACGAAACCAATCCAAACATCCAAAAATTCATGTCCTTCCCACTTCTAGCCTCCCCTGGACCCCTGTACTGCTGAAGTCCATTCGATAGCCTTGCAGCCCGAATTAGCTTTTAATTATTCCTTTAAAAGTGTTTATTCTGGATGTGCTGTGCTGCTTCTGACTGCAGCTGGGCTGGTGATATGAACAGCTGAGTTAACTCCACTGCTCCCCTTGCTTTGCAGGACTCCTCAGTGGGCAGACGTCTCCATCCAACACCAAGCTAGAGAAGCTGGATCCACATCAAGTGCTGCAGCTGTGTCTCCGGTACCAGGACCATCTTCACCAGTGCGCAGAGGCTGTTGCCTTTGACCAGAATGCTTTGGTGAAGCGCATCAAAGAGGTACTGCCCGCTTTGCACCTGCTTTGGGAGGGAGGGCCTGGGCCTCTGCATGTCTCTAGTCCCTAGCGAGCTGTGAGTGCCAGTCAGTGCTTGGTGTGAGTGATCTGTAGTTGCTTGGGGCATCTGCCTCAGAGAAAACACTCTGGAGAAAGTCACTGTCTGTGCATTTCAAACGAAGTCCCCTGACTACCTTATTTTGGATTTTCAAATGGTGCATTTATTGGTTATGCTCTGTGATTCTTGGCTGCAAACATTTTATGTTCCTCTATTATTGCAAGTAATTGTTTAAGAAGTAAAGGATCAGGATTTTTCAAAGTATTGTTCTTTACTTAAATCTCCATGCTTAGCATTTTATTAGGCCTCATGGATAAGCTCTAAGGAAAGGGGTGCCTAGCATGACTGTGATTGCCGGTAACATTTCTTTCTTTCTTCAATGGATTTGTAGAGCCACATCTTCGTTTTCAAAGTCTCTCTTCTCTGTTCAGTATGGCTGTTAAAGATCTTCCTGTACTGCAGTTCTTGTCATTAAATGATCTCTTGAAAATCACTGATCTGCTTAACTATTCAATGATACTATTGGGAATGAAATTAATTCCTTGTGTGAGCATCCTGTAATTGAATTGCCCATCTCACTGTGTGTAGCAACTGATGTTGGAAGCAGAATGGCTGACCATTTTTTAAGGTTAAGACGGACTGTCATGAGTGGAGATGCTCTTTGAGAGTGGCTTCTCACGTGTTCACAAAACTGGTAAATGTCAGAAGTCTCTGAGACCAAAATACCACTCAGTGTCAACAGGTAAAACTTTGAACAGGTGGTTAATTTTTATTCATGTACAATAAACAATGACCTTGATTCTTTATTGCTATATTGGCTTAGAGTTAAGAAGTCCCACATGACAGATGGATAATAAATTTGATTCATGGGCTGTTTTGAGAAGCTGCTGTCATCATGAAGTTTTAAGTCCAGAATAACGTGGGAGCCATTAAAAAGGCCTTTTTCCTTTGCTGTATCATGATCTGTGGCCAGCTGTTACACAAGATGTAAGAATATTTGCAGATGTTGGTAACTCAGATCACACAATCTCAGAAATGGGATTTAATTGCCAGCCTAATGACAGTGTACAACATTAATCCAGCAGACTGTAATTCTTTTGGCTATTAGAGAGTGACTGTCAACATGATTCAAAGCTGTGGTAGGCTCCACCAGAGCAATCTGCAATACTTGGATTTACCTTCTACAGAGAAGTTACAGACTGCCTTTCAAATTACCAATGATATTTCTTTCTTACAGTATATAACGCTTCTGATGATATGTGATACTGATTTTGTTACTGCATTCTTTATCACAGAGTGCTGGAGAAATGAGTGAAACTAACTTGGGAAACTGACAAGTCATGTTTTTGGTTTGCTGGCTTTTTTCTGGGATTTTTTATGGTCGTGACACTTAAGTAACTTCAGATGCTTTGAATCCCACTGCCAGATCTGATGGTTTTTTGCTGTTAGATAACCTAATAATTTTTAAATGTTTTTCTTGCATTGGCTGTTCTGTATGTGTGTTCTGAAGGAGCCGGGTGGGACCCACTCCACTTAAATCATTCTTTCCAAATTGTTTGTACTCTCTTTAGTGCATTAAATTGAACCAGTGCTGACAGTTGCTGACAACAAAGGGTGCAGCTGAACTAGAGCAGGGTATATCTCTTGTTACAAGTGTAGATGTAGGAAATTTGTCTGTGACCACTTGTCAGCAATGATTTTGCTATGCAATATAGACAAATCTTTGACCATTGGTAGGGAGTAAAAATGAAAGAGAATAAAAGCATTGTGGAAAGCATAATGTGTACATGAGCTATAGAGTAAATATATTCTCTTATATTCTCTCTTTAGTAGTCATTATTTCCCTTTTTTTCTCTGTAACAGGGAAAGTGTTGAATTGTTTTTTTCCTCTTATAATAGACTTTTCTGGAGAATTATACTCTTAACTTCACTACAAAATAATGAGCTCTAGTCCCTGATTCCTGCCATTTGTCTGTGGTCCGTTCACTTCAGACTTCAACTGTTTTTATTCAGTGTGCTGCAGTCATACAAGCTGCAGCTTGATTTTAGTTTTCCCTCGACAAAATGTCTCAGGGTAAGTATCTTGTGCTTCTTATGTGTCTGGAAAAAAGTTTCCCAATTTCTGGCAAAACTCTTAAGTACTGTTTTAAATTTATTGGCCCTTGATAATTCATAATTGACTGCAGTGGTTTGTAAATGAGCACACAATCTAAATTAAAATGTTTTTTAATTGAAAAGAGAATAATCTAAGGAGAACAGAAACCTCACGTTCCAGTTGTTACTGCAGATCTAAGCTGACCCATTGGTGTATTTCTTTGCTTTGGGGACCAAAACAGTCTAGTGTTGCTCTACTTCTCATTTCCTGGATTTCTGCAAACTGGCTGGCTAGAGCTCTGAAATATAGAACCTGTGTGCTTTCCAGGTTGTTCTTTTTCAAATGATATCTACTCAAGCATTTCCCTGGGGAAAGAATTGAAGACATGATTGAAAGCAATTGATTCAACTGCTCATCTGCCCATCTTAAGCAGTTAACCATTAAGTACTGGTGCCCAAACTGTCTGGTTTCAGAACGGTTTGAATGTATCACGATGGGCTTTGTCTTTATTCAGAAGTGAAAAAAAAGTGTTTGCATCTTAAGATAAAATAACCAGTATGCATTAAATATAATGTTTCATACTAAGTTTTGGCAACTGCCTCACCTCTGTTGCAATACTGCATTAATTCCAAGAGCATTGAAATATTTAGAATTCCTTCTAATTTTTTCCCTGTAGCAGTTTGAAGAAAAACAGAACAGCAGATTTTGACTTGCACATATGTTATTTCAGGGTTGTGGCATCTGATAAAATTTGTCAATTCTGGGAAAAAAAGTTTTTTTCTGGGCAGCATATCTGTATTTTGTAGGTATTTTGTAGGATGGATATCCTTGGCTTGTCAGATTGGTCGCTGCATTATTGACTTCCGAGGCAGACTCTTCAGGTGGGACTGGAAATGGAATCTTATTTGTCTGCTGGTGATATGCTGAACTTGTACTCAACTTACGCAGAACATGATGATTCAGGCAAGAAGTCCCCACTTTAGTCAGGAGGTCCTGCTGCATCTCACTTCTGCCATGACAATGCTGTAGGTCTCTGTTAGAACTACTACAGAACTTGGAGCAACTCCAGCTACTTCTAGGCTTGAGATCAGTGGGTGCTTCCTTCACCAGGAGTCTGCTTCAGTTTTGTGATCTGTAGAATGGGAGACTTCTGCCAAGATCAGTTTGGAGGTGAATATTGACCAGCACGAAATGCTAGGTGTGCCTGCAGGAGGAAAACAAGTGAAGCAAGGAGAATCATTACCTGTAGAGAGTATTTGATCTGGATGGCAGAGAGAGAATCTGGTAAGTCATTCGATAGGGAATAACAGGGAACGAGAAGCAAATGAGATAAGTAAATGCTGGGGAACAGCTTAATGTTCAGAAAGGCAACCTGATTTTGTATACTCAAAACTTTTTTGTTTCAGTGTCTTAAAGATGATTTTCTGTGCGCTAGTCGCTAAGCTTGTTAAAGATGACATCTTTCAAAATATCATAAGCTGACTATCCATAAGTTACTCATCATATTTGAAAATTTAAGCTGAACTTCTTTCTGTGAAAGCAAAATGGAAACTAAAGGGCCATCTAAGTTCCTTTCAAAAATACTTTGAAATAAAAACACAATTGGCATTTATTATTAGACTTCTTATGCCCCCTTTGCCAGTATACTGTTCAAAGTATCCTGTGTATCTTTAAAGGCAAATGTAGTTACGTGATAAAGTGTGCATAAAATGTATTTGAAGTGGATTGCTAGGAGGGCTCTTACACTTTTCCGTAAGAGCAAATACTGATGTGCTGTATCTGTAGCTCTCCTGCTATAGGAATCAGAGACTGGAGCTCTGCATGGCTGGGAACTAGGTTGAAACAGTACAGTATACCATTAACCACAGCAGCAACAGGACCTGAGATGCGTGTGTGCTGCATTCACACATGGTTTGTTCCTCACACTTCTTAGCAGAAGTACCTTCTCTCAGCAGAAGGACGTGAACCCTGCAGCGCTCCATCACAATTGATGAGTGTCCCTTAAGGGAATGGACTGAAATGTTGTGACAGGTTTGTGGGAGGTAGTTTTTGTTTGCTTTTTGTCCTTGCATTGGGCGCTGTTTCTTCAGCATTTTCCTGAGCATGAGACATTTTCTGTTACTGGCTGTAGTTATGATTTCCATGTAGATATCAACCGAGTTTCCAAAACCAAAGCCTGTTTTCAACAGATACGCTTTGAGAATGACACCTCACTAAAATGAATTACACCAACAAAACATGAATGACCTCAGCAAGTCCAAAGGTCCAGGACCTTTTCTTAAAGGTTTGTGTGCTGATACGACTCAGAACGTGAGTTACCTCTCAACCCATTTAAGGCAGGGACTCAGAGGACTGAAAGCAAGCGAGTTAAATGAAGCCTGGCAGAAGTGAAAGTGGAGATGTTTACTCTTGACGGAACATGCAGTGGGGCTTTGGTTGATGACAAGTTGAATCTGAGAAGCCAAGAAGTCCAACTGTACTGTGGGGTGCATCAGGCCCAGCACTGCCAGCCAGGTGAGGGGAGGGATTGTCCCATTCCGCTCTATTTGGTGCAACCTCACCTTGAGCACTTAGTGCAGGTTTGGATGCCACAACATTAAAAGTAGATAAAGCTATTACAGTGCTTCTAAAGGAGAGCTGTGAAGATGGTGAAGGGCCTGAGGATAGGATGTATGAGGAGCAGCTGAGGTCCCTCGGTGTGCTCAGCCCAGAGCAGAGGAGCTGAGGGGAGGCCTGATGGCGGCTGCAGCTCCTCACAGGGAGCGGAGGGGCAGCGCTGAGCTCTGCTCTGTGTGACAGCGACAGGGCCAAGGGAACGGCATGGAGCTGTCAGAGGAGGGCAGCTGGGGGT